CCGGCGGTGCCGGCGGCGGCGGTGGGAAGCGTGGGTACCCTGCAACATTAGGAGGCTCCTTCGTTGCTACAGTACTTAGTTTCCCCTTCGTCCTTCCTTCTTTTCATTTGTCACCAAGCCTCCCGGGGTGTCGGCCCTCCTCCTGGTTGGCCACCGGAGAAGGGAATCATCTCGCACTAACCCTGCCTCCCCACGTCCTCTCAGGTACGTCGCCGAGAGCCAGGCGGCTGATCAGCAGCTCCCAGTCTGGCCCCCAGCATCCCCGCACGGGGAGCCGAACCTTCTGTTTCTGAGGGTGGCTTTTGTCCGAGCCCATCGCACTCGGGCCCTAGGTTCCTTTCTCCCATTTCCTCCCGTTTCCCTCCAGCGACACCAGCTCTGCCCAGCAGGTGCCCTAGGTCCAAAGATACCTCTGCCAGAAGTTTGCATTTGTCTTTCTACATGAAGGTAAATGACACCTGTGGTCTCTCCATCTCCTGTGCATGCTGAGGGCATGGGGAAGGTGAGGTTCTGTTCCCTCTCTCTCTTGATCTGAATGCCTTTTCTTCTAGAAACAGTAAAGAGAGTTGGATACAGGAGCTGAAGTTATCCTAGGGCAGTCGAGAATTCAGTGGGTTTTTTAAACTTTAAGACTCTAAATAGAAATCCAGTTGGTGTTTATGTATAGCTCTTATAGCCAGTGACCCTTTAAACTCCTGTATTAATTCCAATATTTGCTCTGTACATTACATTCTAAATTCAAAATCATGCGATGTCCAAATGATGCAAAGTCGATTCCTCATCGTCAATGATAGTCCCCTTGTTGCTGCTGTTCCTGTTCCTTTTATCCAGGACAGAGTGACGAGAGGTGGTGGTGACAGGAGGAAAGTGCTCAGTAGTTCACCACAAATACGATGTACGTGAGAGCTGGGTTTGTAGTGACCTTTATCAGGTCAGAAAGATACCTTCTATTCCTCGTTTGCTGAGTTATCATAAAGTGTGTTGAATTTATCAAATGATTTTCTGTACCTACTAGATTATACAGTATGTTTTCTTTTTTATAGGCCACTGATGATTTTATGTATTACATTTAGGATATGTTTTCATCATTTTCATGGGCTATTGCTCTAGCTATTTTTTTTGTTAAATCCTTATCCATTTTTATTTAAAAAAATCAAAATTATGCTAGCCTCTCAAAATTAACTAGGAAGTGTCACCCCTTTCTTTCCTCTAAAGGAGTTTCTGGAGGACTGATACTGTCTTTCCCCTGTGTGTTTGGAGGAGTTAAGCAGTGAGAGCATCTAAATCTGGAGTTTTCCTTTGTGGAAAGTTTCTTTAAAGTCAGCTGTTTGAGGTATGATTTGTAAAAATAAAATTTACCAATTTCTAAGTATAGTTTCATGAGTTCTGACAATTACAGGCAGTCATGCACTTGTACCCACCACCACAATCAGCATATGGAACAGTTCGTCACCCCAGAGAAGTCCCTGGCACCCTCCCGCAGCCAGTTCCCGCCGTCAGCCCGGCCCCGTGGGGCCAAGCACGTGTGCCTTTTTCTGTACCCCTCCCGATTCAGCTGATGCCTCTGGGGCTCCCCCGTGCTGCCGCCTGTGTGCCTGTGGCTAACCTCCACTCGGCTGAGGCACGAGCTCTCCGTGGACACTCAGACTTGGAAATGAAGAGCTCTGAAAATGTGCACAGTCTGAACGTCTTCATGTCTTTGGAAAAAAACCTAGGACTGGGCTTGCCCGGTCATGAGGTAAGAGTATGTTTAACTTAATTAGAAACTGCCAAACACTTTTGCCAAGTAGCTGCATCTGTGCCGGCGATGGAGGAGACTGCAGGGCCCCCCACCCTCACTAGTACTGTCTGATTCCAGCCATTCTCCTCCGTGTGCAGCGGTATCTCAGCAAGATTCTGATTTACATCTTCCTAAACATGCTGAACATCCTTCCATGTGCTCATTGCCATGTGAGTTTCTCTTTGGTGAAGAGTCTTCTCAAACCTTTGGCCCATTTATTATGAGGTTGTTTGTTTTCTTTTTGTGAAAGTGTGTGTACTATTTTAATATATGTAAATTTTTTCAACTCCTTTGGCACATATTTTGTCAAATTTATTTCTAAGTATGCCATGTTTTTGAAGATACTCTACATGCCATTAAATTTTTTGTAACTTAATTTTAAAAAATTTTATTGAGATAATGGTGGTTTCACATGGAGCTTTAATAATAGATCTGTGTACACCTTACCCAGTGTCTACTAATGGTAACATTTGCAAAACTATAGTATAATATCACAAAACTATAGTGTAATAGCAATATATTATACTGTTGATACGATTCAGCAGTCACACTCAGATTCTCCCGCTGCATACCCTTCTGAGAGTGTTCAGACCTACATGGTTTCATCAGCCATGTGGGTTCCTGCATCCTCCAGGTGGTCCACGTGCTAAACACCTCCCTCATCCCCAGGGTCCCTCCTGCTGACGTTTTATAACCTCCCTTCCTCTCACTCCACTCCATCCCGAACGTCTGGCAACCACTAATCTGCTCTCTATTTCTAAAATGTTGCCGTTTCAAAAATGTTATGAAAGTAGAATCATACAGTCTGTTTCCTTTTGGTGGTTTCTTTTACTAGGCTCAGTCCCTACTGGACACCCATCCAGGTTGTGTGCATCAATAGTTTGGTCCTTTTGACACTGAGGAGTGTTCCATGCTGTGGATGGGCTACCGTTTGCTTAACCATTCAGCTGTTGAAGGATGTCTGGGCTGTCCCAGTTCTTGGGTGGTACCAATAAAGCTGCTATAAGCATTCATGCACAGGTGTTGTACGAACATTATCAACTGCTCTGGGATAAACATCCAACAGTACAATGGCTGGATCAGGTGGCAGCTGCACGTTTAGTTTTACAAGAAAACTTCCAAATTATTTTCCAGGGTGGCTGTACCATTTTACGCCCCCTCAAGTGGCCCAGTGTCCCCGCGTCCGTACTGGCATTTGCTCTTCTCCTTAATTTTGATTTTAGCTGTTCTGACAGGTTGTAGTGACAGTTCGTTGTGGTTTGGGGTCACATCCCCCTGGCGGCAGTGCTGAACGTGTCTCACGTGTGTATTTGCCGTCGTGTATTGTCTCAGTAAAACACCCTTTTGCTGTTTTTTAATGAGATTGTACTGTCGCGTTTTGAGAGTTCCTTGCGTATTCTTGGTACTAAGCCCTTGTCAGGCATGTGTTTGGAACATTTTTTTTGCAACAAATGTTTGCGAACATTTCCTTCCAGTCTGTAGGGCATCTTCACCCCCTTCACGTGGGTGTTCTCCAAGCAAAAGGGTCTCGTTTTAACGAAGCCCGACTCGCTCCCTTTCCCTCTGGCAGACCACACTCTCAGTGGCAGGTCTCCCTGAACTTCAGATTTCGGTTCTGAATGATTTGCTTCTGGACCAGACATACAATCAGCTTTCTTGCATTAATCTTGTCTTCTGTGTGCCTTCGTCCCTTGTAGGAATATTCCTTACAGTTTTCTGCGTAGACAGTCATGCCTTTGCAAATACGGTTTTGCTTCTTGCTTTCCAGCCTGAACGCCTTTGATCTCTTTTCTTGCCTATTTGCCTGGCCGAATCTCCCGGTAAAGGGAACAGAAACAATGAGAGCCGGTGGCCCTTCGCCTTTAAATGTGCTCTTAGCTGTGGGGTTTTCATGGCTTACCTTTATCAGGGTGGGGGATTTCCTTTCTAATACTAATTCGCCATTGAGTCAAATTCTTTCCAACAGCTCTTCTGTCTCTATTGAGATGAATACATCTTTTCCCCTTTTTTGTCTTTGAATCTGGTGAGTTTCATTGACTGGTTTTCTAAAGTTAAATCAATTTTCCATTCTTTGGTTAAAACCAAATGGCTCACGATACTTCCTGGGCCCATGTTAGTGTTCCGCAAGCCACAGCTTCTGAACCATGTGGTACACAGTGGAAAGCCTGGGCCCCAACCATTCTTCTTGCACTGGGTGGAATTGCCCCCCCCAAAAGATATGCTCAAGTCCTAACCCCCAGAACCTGTGAATGGGACTTTATGTGGAAATAGGGTCTTGTTGATTCAATCAAGTAATTATGAGGTCGTGCTGGATTCGGGTGAGCCCCACGCCCACCGTGACTGGTGTCGTTATAGGAAGAGGGGAACTGGGCCACACAGACACACACAGAGCAAAGAGGAAGGCAGGGACTGCGGTTACATGGCCACAAACCAAGGAAGGCCAAGGATTGCTGGCCACCACCTGGAGCTGGAAGAGACAAGCGAGGCTCTTCCCCTAAGCCCTCGGAGTGAGCACAGCTCTGCCAGCCTCCAGAACTGGGAGACCAGAAATTTCCTCTGTTTTAAATCATCTACATTTGGGAACGTCACTTCAGCAGCCTTGGAACCGTAAACCTCTGTTGGTGTAAAGCACCCTTCTGTCTGAGGTGATGTCATACAAGGTCTCGGGGAGGAAACCGCTCTCTGGGTTCTCAGGTAGTGGTGCAGATTGAGGCACTGGGGGAAAAACTTGAGCAAACTTGTGCTTCGGCTAGGTAACCATCCCAGCAGGAGGGACAGCTGCACCCTGCAGGGTGGAAATGGCACAAAATTATCAGCCTCACCAAGTAGCTGGCTGGCCCCAGGAGGGGTGGATCCAGGCTGGTGGGATGTTCAGCACCAGCAGTCAGCCTTGCAGGGGAGGTCTATGCTCCCGGGCTAGTGTGGAGCCCCCAGCACCCCTCCCGTGACTGCTTCACTTGGAGCCCACTGTGCAGAACTGGCTCCCAGATGGCTTGGCTCCACAACCTGGGCTATTACATCATAATTATCACGTCAGCCTGCAGTACCAGGGAGCAAGTTCCAGGAGCCTGCAGAAGGGCTGTGGAGACCAGGTAGAGCCCGGTGTCCCTGAGGGCAAAACCAATGGGCAGCAGCCAGAGACCCATCCAGTTTGCATCAGGATGGAAAATGGGAGGCTGAGTGCCATCTCCCCAATAAAAAGTCACAATCCCTTGCCCAGTTTTGGGACCTCAGCCAGTTTTCAGACTGGAACCCTGGGCCCCAGGAGAAAGGACCTCGCTATAACACAAGCTTACAGGTGGTGACCTCGCACTTCATCGGAAGTGCCCACGGCTTTAACTCCGGACACTACACTGAGGCACGGGGATGCCAGGACATTTCAAAAGCTGTGGGATGCCGGATGGGAGCCGACCTTTGTGCGCAGAGGCGTGAAGCCGCATCCATCCGACCCCTACCCCTGCGTTAGCGCTACGTTGAGCTGTGGGGTCCGAGGAGCGGATTAAAGCAAGAGCCACGTGGAGGCACCAGTGTGGCAGCAGAAGCGGGAGCCAAAGCCGGAGGAGACGCGACTGCCCCCACTCCCCTGTTGCATCTCTGTGGGTCCGTGTGCCTGAGGGTCGTGGGGGTCTGCTCACTGATGAGGCTCCTCCTGCATTTTTTCGGACCCAGGAGTCGGG